TCATGAGGTTGAATGTTATGGAGCCAGTGCAGATAGTCATTTATCGAAACTCTCTAAATTACAATACAGGACATTAAAAACTATAACAAAAAACATTGATCCAGGAGAAAACTTCAAATTAGCTAGATCAATACCACTAAGTTTATTTTACATATACAAAATAGCAATCAAATTCATGCATGATGACTCATTTAACGCCAGAGACAAAACAAAGTACCGCGAACCTGCATTTAACAATAGATTCGGGAAACGGACATTGAGCTACAAGTTTCGTTATCTGTTCAACCGATCTGGTAAACGGACCTAACACTAAAAGAACTAAATAAGAAATCTTTAATTGGATACTTTCTCATTTATAAGTTTTAGTCACCTCTAATCCTATGGATTTTTTTCGCTTACCTTATTGTATTTATTTTCTTCTACAGGTCACTCCAATTATTGATGTGTGACGAACATACATGTATATTCCTCCGATTATAAACTGTTATGAACTTCTATTTCTTTTAGTCAAGCTATTATTTTTATTATTGTCCACATGATGCTTTTCACATTTATCAATTATTTTATTATTATCTTGTAAATAACTACCTCTATGTATTCATATCTTATACATAATCATAATTATTATTATTTATATGTTATGTAGTGTTATATAATCTTATACATCTCAATATTGCCACTTAGTATTTAATATATATTATATTACATTATCATTATGTGGTTCGTGAGCGACGCGGCCTCTATGGACTGCTATCTTCAGTTATCTTATTATTTGAAGTGTTGTTGTTATTATTTATATTTCTTATTATTAAATTACTATATAAGTATTATATTTATATTTCTTGTATATACAGTATAGAGTATATAATGTAGATACATGTATAAAAGAAATGTATATACAGAAAAGAGTACATATATATATATATATATATATATATATATATATATATATATATATATATATATATATATATATATATATATATGTACAAAAAAGAAGCTACACCAAATACACAGGGATTATCAGTGCCTTATAACAATTATCAGTGTTCAGGTTACAAACATTTAATAATAAGAAATATAAATAACAACAACAACACTTTAAATAACAAGATAACTGTAGATAGCAGCACAAGTACCCATTATGTTATAAATTATTATATCATTAAACTATATTGTATCATTATATTATGGTTAGAATTGTATCATATTGAAATTGTCAAAAAAAAAAAAAAAATGTAACCATGTAAAAATTACTTATTACTAATGGCACCGACCGATAAATATTGACATCTTGGCGAAACAAATTGTAATTAGTGGTTAGTAAACTCTAAAAAAAAAATATTTTTAAAATATTCTTTTGTAAGCATTTGAAGTAAGGATATTTTCAAACCATGCCTTGTTACTAATCTTGTCATACTTGAAATACAGTGAACAATTGCTCAATCTGTGTTATCTTCCTTTAACGTAAATAAAATAAAATTCAATAGATAGTGAAATAAAAATCAATAAATGATCGAATGAACTTTTATTTTAATAGAATGGCAGAGAAGGAAGCAGTCAAACATTCAGCTGTTCCACATCAAATCTAAAAGGTCAAGTTGTAGTCCCAAACTAGCTCGCTTTCCTATCCAGTGGTTCAGAACAAGGGAGGTATGTGGACATCACATTCCGACTGCCAGCATTCTGTCAGCCGCCCACTTAATACGGTATACTGTAGAGAACCCTTGGAATCTTGCTTCGATCCTCTCCGTTTTAATTCAGCTGAACGTGTACATGAATTACCAGCCGTATACATTGCACATCACATTATTTTATTCATATGATTGTTAATAGGAATAAAAAAAAATAGAGCATCGAATCAAATCAATATTCGAATGCGTCAAATCCCATGGATGGAAGCTCGCTACTGTTACATCGTGCTCGGAGATAACATCTCTTGTATAATGCAAGCCCTCACCACCTGTTTAGATATGAATTTCTGATGGCGGATTGTTGTCGGCATTCTTTATAGAAGGCTCATTAAGGCAAATTTATTCATGATATGGGGCCTCACACATCGCCGATCAGTTCCGATAGGCAGTCCAAAATTTGAATATACGAAGAACGGGAGCGTGTAAAATATTAGAAAAAATGGTTAATTTTGATCATAATGGGCCTCGTCTTATTTTAAACCTTGAACTTGACATATTTTATTAGTGGTCCTATAGGCAAGGCTAATGTCTAGTTTGGTGGAGAAAAAACATACTCGTAAGGAAAGAAGAAAATAGAAAAATATTTTGAGACATGTTGGTTTGATTCTTTTTTTTTTGTAATGAAGTTTCTCATTAATATAACTGGTTCTTCGAAGAAATCAAAGAATCGTGATGGGACGAAAGCTTCGAAACTCCTTATTTTTTATTTATTGATTAATAATACAATCTGCCACTTTTGGAGGGCAATAAGTTTTTAGGCAGTTTTACGTCTCAAGGCCCGAATACACAAGCATTTAGGCTGAAAGTATCTATTCATACAATATAACTGCAAATAATGGATATCATTCTCATGTAATCAAGCATCTAATGAAGAGGTGTCTCTGCTGCGGGGTCAATTTAACAGTCATGCACATTTTGACTGATTATTATGCATATGAAGCATAACAAAATGAAGAGGAATGGGAGAATAATATTACTGAAGTTTTGAAAAATGGCACCAAATTGGTTTAAAAAAAATGTTTATATTTCTTCGAATAACGTACCTATATAACAAAATTAAATTTTTACATTTAATTTTTATGGACGGCAGTGGCTCCGTGACCTTTTGTAACATGTATATATTGGAGTTCTGGCAATGGCCAGTTTCTCCACTCAAATCATGAGTGACTGTGGTTGTGAGCTGATCCTTACTCAGCCTCCGCTGGCTTTTAATACCAGTGAAATGGTTGAGGGAGATGCGCAGGGATCTCCTGAAGCCTCCACAAATGACAAATCTGGTTCGGAGTTTCCTTGGCCGATAGTAAATAGCGTAAATTGGTATGCCTGCGTTTAAGATGTTTATTTTAATTTTATTATTACTATTATTTATATTTTCTTCCTTCTTTATGATATTTTATTTTGTTTTTATTTCGTTGTGTATTAATTTGAAATTACATTCTTTATTTTTTGATTTTGTAAATATGGTTTGAATGTGCTCTCTGAACTCTATCCTTTATTGACACAATATTTATCAATAAACGAGTTTAAAGGTCTAAAAAAAAAACAATTTTTTGGAAATTTTAATGTTTTAAATATTTTGTACTTATCAAATTTATTCTGATTTAATATAAATATTGTATAAGTGCTAAAAGGACCCATAAGAGGTTAAGGAGTTTCCCCTTGTTGTAAATAAAATGAATAAATATAAAAAAATAATTTTAGTATTTAATTAGTTTTTTATGAGGCTCTGTTCACATTAATTGATAATTTTAGTAGTTTACTATTCTATACTAGAGTTCTTATTATAGATTATACTATCCATTCAGAAACACAAACTTTATGGAATTTATATACATTATATTTTATTCTTATATCTATGTTATTATTATTTTTTTCTCTTCTAATCAACTGTATATCTTAATTTAAGGATGGGTAAAATTGAGGTATTGACCTGACTAATTGCAGTTGCTAAAAAAACAAAAACAATATATATATATATACCATGTCTTATAAAAAATAAGTAGTCAGTATTTATTAAATAAACTCTCCATTTGATAGTTTATAAACCCCTTCTTTAGGCAGTTTAAAGTTATCGTAAATTATGATAATCAGATAAATTTAAATGTTAAAGGTTACTCTAGTCATTAATGTAGGTAGACAAGATTATATTTTAATCAACGAACTATTGCCAGGATAAAAAACTTATTTAAATTCTCCTTTAAAGATGTTTAGAAATGAAAGAAACGCTGAACAATAGACGCCTTAGAACTGAAGGTTCTTAAGAAAATCCAGGACCTGGTCCATTTGGATTTCAGTACTGTATTATCTCCAGCCTTTGGAAACTCCAACACTGGAATTGAACCCTTAATCACTTAACTTTAGGGAATAAAAAAAAGGGAAACTCTTCTCCCCGACCTTTGAAGCTGTCACTTCTTTAAAAGGTGTTTAGGCCAGTTAAAGAGAGAAATGTTGACAATGAGAAAAATACATTTATGCTCTCCCAGATTTAGCGGCTCCTAATAGAAGAGTGAATTCCAAAATAATAAAAAAAATATAAAAAGAAACTTAAAAAAGAACAGTAGTGCTTCTATAAATATTGAAGTGTTAATACCATTAATTGGTCGACAGATGAAAAGAAGTTAATATTTTTTTTTAAACAAGTAATCATTTTAGTTTATTCCTCCACTCCATTGGGACGAATGGGGCAATCGTCAATGGCCCGCCATCACATAATTTAGTCACTTCTGAATGTAGGCAGGAGAGTTTTTCATTTATTTTTTTTTTTGGTTTCATTGTTGAAATTTCAATCCTAGTCTTTGAATAGTGTAAAGGAGAGATTGTTGGGAGTGAAAGGTCCTGAAACTTTGCTTTGCAGCATGTCCTACGCAAAAAATGTTACTTGAAGCAATTTCTTTCATAGTCGAAGCTCCTTATTGGGTGTTCTCAAACTGGATTCTGTGGCAACAATATTTAGTTTCCGTATTCAATTTCCTGGGGACCCTAGAGAAGAAAACTCAGGAATGGAGGTTTAAATTTTGAATGTGTTTCTGAGTTTGCATACTTTTTCTACCGGTTGAATATAAATAATGATACGAATGTCGAGATTCAGAGACGTATGATGACCGCAAATGATTCCATTTTGGACTTCAAAGATAGTTTGAAAGCATAGTAATCTTATGCATAACTAAGCAGAGTACATTTTAAACCTTAATGAAACCAGTGCTAAGATATGTACTAAGTGTTGGACAATATCAAAAACCCAAGATACGACTCTTTTTCGATTTCAGCGTCGCATTTTAAGAAGAATAATTGATCAAATACTCATCATCAACTGGGAATGGCAAATGCGAGCGAACGGTGAGCTACAGGAGCTATACCGAAACGCTGATCGTGTGAAGATAATAAGGATCGGCCGATTAAAATGTGTAGGGCACGTTTGGCTGCTATATGGGGAACGTATCTGAAGAAAGTTATTTGAACAGCGAATTTAACAACGAGCGAACAAGGTGGGTAGGTATACCTAAACCTAAATGAGCCGACGGAATGGAAGCAGACACCCAAACTATTCTTGGTATTCAGGATTGGAAGGCAGTTGTACTTTTTGTAAAGGATATCCTGAATTCTAATCGAGTTGTGACACAGAAGAAGATGAAGAATATGGTCGATATGGTGGATAGTTATACTAAAAATACATATGTTTATGTATATTAATAACAAAATGAAAATGAAAATCAATTAAATTGGAGATATCTGGAAAAAAATAATCGGTTCATAAATATTGCATAAAAAGTGGATGATGATTCTATAACATTACCGCTTGAAGATTCTGTACAACCATTAATTTGTATTAATGTACTACGGCAAAAGAAAAAGGTTTGAGAGCTACTGCTCTGTACAATGGTTTACTTTATTTTTTGATCATCATGAATTCCTTGTAATTCATTCTGCCAATCAACAACACATTTTGCTAGATATAATAACAGAAATTAAAACAAAGATACGACAAAACAGTGGATGATGCTTTCTATTGTTCATTCTGAAAAAGGATATTCTTCCTTGGATCAGTTCAAGATCGGCTCTTCATCATATATTACAGGGAATAAAGAATATTATTAGTTCCAAACATAAAAAAAAATGTAAAACTCACCATCAATAATGAGATAAGAAGATGAGTTGGCCATGTTCTGGAGGACGGGAGCCATGTTGGCATAGGTGAGGGTGCGAAGGTGGTTCTCCCGCAGGTTGAGGTAGCGCAGATGGTACTTGTCGTCGAGGAGCCCGACAGGCAGGCTGGTCAGTTTGTTTCCGGCCAGGGAAAGCCTCGTCAAGGCGTTGATGCCCCTCAGGGCTCCAGGGTTCAGGAACTCCAACACGTTCTTCTCCACCAGCAGTTCTTCCAGCGCGGGCATTTCTTGGAAGGTACCATCGCCGAGCATGTTGAGGTTGTTGTTCGACAGGTCAAGTCGCCTGAGTGCCACCAAGCCCTGTGAAACATTAAAAGTATATTAAGTAATGCAGAAAAGAATCAATTTAGCCTATTGATAATTTTAACAGAAACAAACAATAACAAAAAATTGAAAAAATAAAGTTATTTGAAACATGGATCACACGAAATATAGTGGTAGTAGACCAAGAAATCGGGAATACAAGTTTTCAAGCACTGTAATCGGTAGTCCATAAACTATAAGTTGGTTAGAAATCCTTGATATTTTATTATTTCCATGGACAATAGTTAAACTAACAAATTTTGAATAATATATTCGCCTCTTTTTGTATGCTTCTCTGCCGTTTTATGATGCGTAATAGAGCAAATACGTCGAGATGCTCTTCGGCTGTTGGTATTTCATCAGAAATGCTAATTATATTTTTTAAAAACTACTATGTGTGCTTTAGAGCACACGATAGAAGTGAAAACATCAACAAAGCGAGATTAATGATAAGAAATATCGAAAAATATTAATGAACTCTATCGAGTGCAACAGAAAGTCTAATAGAAATACGTAATATCTAATTTTTAAGGCTAATTAAAAAAAGAAATTGTCTAACTTGTCTTCAGCAAATAGATTTCTGAATTCTTCAGGGTGTTTAAATTTTGGTATAGTTTAATTCAAATGTTCAAAATAATCGTAATTCTTTGGTTTTATGTTGTTATCTTTTTCCCTTTCCAACTCTCTAAATCGGCGTTACGTCAAAATACAATTGTGATTTATAGCTCATTAAAAAAGATGAAATTTTGAAAATTGTCTTCACTTGCAGTATGCAGGTTCGTTATTAGTTTCTGAGATATTTTAATCCAAATGCAAGAATACTTCAATTAGTCAACTCGAATCGACTTTATTCCAATGAGAGTTACAAAAAGCTACTCAGACCTACAAAAAAAAGTGCAAATCGTGCCTAAAAAAGTTTCCACTTCAAAAAGTTCCTCTATAAAAATATCCTAAGACTGACAACATATCGGAGAAATAGTTATAATCGTCTAGCATATTAAACGGTTGAACAAAATACTGGAAAAATTATTATATAGTAATATATATATATATATATATATATATATATATATATACGAATCACTGTTTCCTTTGGTCGCGCAATAACTTGACCTTGACAATAACGCCTTTACCGATTTCATTCATTTTTTTTTTTTTTTTTTTTTTTTTTTTTTTAGTTTTCTATTACTTTCTAGAAGGTTCTTACGGAAAGAAAATTTGAGAAAATTGTGCAGAAAATATAAGAAAACTTAATGACTATTTTAACTTCGCGCGTTTGATAAATGTGAGTTTTTGTTTAAAACATAAATTTAATAGTTTTAAAAAAAAGTTGCACAGACATTTTTTTTTAAAGATGATGTAATATGTAATAATTTTCGTTACGCTATAATTTCTAAATTTTTCTGTTCTTTCTTGTTAGGAAATTTTCAATTTAAGATAATGAATTTTAAAAATTTATAATGTACGCTAAGTTGGGACATATGAGACCAAGAAGCGTTAAATATATGTTAATGGAATTTCCGCGAAGAGTTGAAGAGAAGTTATTTCATTGGAATTTTGATGAGCCAGCTCAAGTTCTGAATATGCAGTTGTGAACGCTGAATTTTGCTCTAACGTCATAATACCAATGTCATACCGAGACTCATACTGACAGGTTTATGTTTTAATTAATTTATTTCTTCCACCTACCTAGACTTTAAATATATAGTGAGAGGGAATATTGCAATCGCAGAATATATAAAATCAGAATATCAGACGAAAATAAACGAACATTTTACGATGTTTTAATTCCAATAACAAAACAGTCATTGTATATGGACAGTTTAGTTTAAAAAACGAAATGTTATATTAACTTATATTTCGTATTTAAGTAGATATGCCTTGAATTAAAAAACTAATTTTTCACTATAATGCTAATAGTAGTAATACAAATGGTTAATTAAAAGCTATGGAAAGGTTTCATAGTTGACTAAAGAAATGAAAAATATTTTATATGGTTGAAGTACAATTTCCGGAAATAACATAATATATACCGATGAAAAACTAAACATTTTAGAAAATTAATATCCGAAGGTGCGTTTAGACATTATACAAATTATGGGACAAACAAATATATAAATAGTTATTTAACTTTTCCAGTAATCTTGCATTTGATATTTTCCATCTGCTGTCGCTATCAAGAGAAATAATATAAATATTTTGGTTTAGGAATGATTTCGCTGTTATTGAAGTTAGATCATTCTAGTTCCCATAGTGTGAAATGTCTAAACGCACTTTACGTATAAGATAGTGGAGAATGACGACAAGAAATTGACTATTGGTTAGTGAAGTTAATAACAAGAAAAAATGGGAGATTTATTCTCTTAATGTTAACGCCACAGCGTTAACTTATTTTATTTTTACAGTAAAACGCCACAGCGTTAATTCAATTTATTTTACACTTAACTAGTTTGATTAATTGTTGATTTGTTTTATTTTAGCAAAGTGAAATCAATTAATAATATGTATATTTATGTATAAGATAGGTGTATATTAAGTATTATGGACTTGGACTACTTTGTTATGGATTGTAGTAGCACTAGCTATAAACAAGTGCTAGGTTCAAGTCATAAGGCGATAGAATTGACAAGAGACAATCTGACTCTGCCCGCCACTGAACTGAGTACTGCCAACTTCAACACTGCCCACTGCAGTTCTACTCTGAAGAGACGTACTTCTCTCGTCGTGCTCGCCGCTACCTATTTGCAGTTCGTTTTGTGCACGCTCATTGAAGAGTTACAATTGGTTTCTGCATAGAGACAGAGGTTTACGAACGCCCTGCTTCGTCCACGTAACGTTGTACAATCTAATTATTTGTTATATATATATATATGTATGTATGTATATATATATAAAAAATTTCATATTGGGACTTTAGAGAAGTTGTTTTTATTTTTTATTTTATTTTTATTATAATTTGGGCCATAGAAATAGTTTTTATTTATTGTCAAGCATGAAAATGTTTCATTAGTATTGTAACAATTGTTAGTTCAGCTGGTCTTTATTTTATGCTAGAAGTTTGTTATTTTTTTACCTATATAACAAGTGTAAAATTGATTCATTTTGTTTTTATGTTTTCAATATAATATTTCGTAAATATTCCAAAATAAATGTTTGAAGATACAGTCCACTTTATTTCTTTTCCTTTTTTCTTTTATTAAATCACATTTAGATAGTTAGGCTTCATTCGAAGTTTGACATAAACTAAGAGGGAGCTAACACTTAGGTTAAAAAACAATTTCTGAAACAAAATTAGTAAAAAAAAAAAAAAAATGGAATGTTAAAGATTTGAGAAAAAATATTTATTAAGATATAAAGTCGTAGAAGGTTTTGCAAAGTGATGAAAAACATATAACATAATTTTTGAGAACTAATATTATTTAACAGAAATGTTTCCAAGGAACCTAAATAAAATTTCCAAACTTAATGAAAATGTAATGTATGTGTTATTGTATTTAATCTACAGATATTTAAATTCTACGTTTACACTGTTTTTAACAAGAAGAGAGGAGTAAAATATCTTGGAAGAGGTGGGGGAAGGTTTATACGCCATCGGCCTTGGGGAGGGGGGAGAGGGGTATGGGCACAACTGTACAGTAGACTCCCACTTAACCGGCTTTCCGGATTATACGGCGGTATTAGTAAAACACAAAAAAAAATTAACATCCTTCAAAGCACTTAGATTCTCAACCACTGGTTATAAACTAATTTTGTTGTGTGTTAGATTTTAAAATAGATTGAAACTTAGACAAAAAGGTTTTTGTTTATTATTAATTTTATTACAATTGACCGAACCTGAATAAAATAAATCTATTCGAAGCAATATTGATTCTTGATACAAAATCTTTATCCTTTATTTATTTCATTAAAAAATGAAAATGAAGAAGAAATATTGCGTAATTACCAACGCAGTATTGTCTAGTACTGTAACTGCGCATATTACCGAAGTTAGATATGGCACATTTTCGAGGATAGGTTTTATTCGAGGTTTTTGTTTTTTTTCTACGTTTTGCTTTTCAGTTGTGTAACACTTTTCCTTCAATTAACTAGTGTGATAAAATCTGTGAAAAAATAAAACGAGTTGTGTCACTGAATGATAAAATTTTTCCGCAACATAGAAGTTAAAATAATATTGGAGTTTTATACCGTCGGTATTAATCGGCTCTCCCGTTTTACCGGCGATGTCTCGGTCCCGATGAGGACCGATAAGCGGGAGTCTATAGTAGTAACAACCTTAAGGGAAAATGTTTTGCATGTCGTTTCAGATTTTTATCTTAATGATTATTAATTTAAATAACAATACTGTTTAATTTTCTTTAAATATATAATAAATGTTTGTTAGTGAATGTTGTCTTTCAAACAAATCAGCGATGATTGTTTGTTGTTTTTCCTGGAAGCTTTAGAATTGGTAATTTCATTATCATATAATTAAAAAAAAATTGCATATTCATTCCAAGTATGATGCTATCTCGTGAAACTGACGTTTCATGTTGCCCCAGCCAAGTTATTCCATCTTGTTCAATTTCTATTTTCTGATTGTAGTTTGCCGTTTTATTTCAAATCCATACTGTAAATTTACTCTTCCTCGCTGTATATCTAATGTAATAATTTACACTGCTATATATTATCTCTGACATTCTATATCCGCTCGATGTTTTTTTTTTTATTGTAGAACTGAAGATTGGAAAAAGTATTCGCTTAATGTTTTATTTTTAATGATCTTTTCTAAATTCATTGTTAGATAAGTATCATATTTAGTTAATAAATGCCATTATATCAATAAGCGATTGATATTTTACAGAAAGACTGTATTAAGCTAATAGGTTTTATTTATTTAATAAAAAATCTTTTAACACGAAGTTTTGTTTCCTCTATATTACATAATTTTGAGATTAACGATTTACAAATATTTAAAAAAAAAAGTAATAGTCATAACAATCAATTTAAACAGTTTTTCT